GCCCCCCCCTAGAACTCCTGACCCATCCAACCCTCCCCCTGCTCCCTGTCTCTTGACTACCCCTCCCAGAACCTCCCTGCTGCTTCTCTGACCCCCGGCCCCCTTACCGTGCTGCAGAGCAGCGCGCTCAGCAGCAGGGGGAGGGGAGCAGGGTCGGAGCTCCAGACTGCCGGAGGCCGAGGCGAATGGCCGGCCGGCGATCTGCGAATACCGGGGGGGGGGAGGGAGAGAGAGGAGGGGAGTGGTCTCAAGTTGCAGGGGAGTGGAGGGGGGAAGTGGAGGAAGGGCTTTGGCTGCTGGAGCCCCGTGCGAGTGGCTCGATCCAGCCGGCTGCCCTGTAAGCCTCACACGCTCTGCATGGGGGGGAAATCCGGACATTGACAAATTCCCGCCAGACGCTATTTTTAACTCAAAAAAGCCGGACATGTCCGTGGGAATCCAGACGAATGGTAACCCTAGTGTATGTACTGCACTAATCTGAAGTTCCCCAGGCCTAGCCCTTGGAAGGCAGATCCCAATTCCATGAAAACATGTTCTGATGCTTTGAGAAATGAATGTGACTAGAAATGCTTTGGGGTCTTTCTGATCCCTGCAGAATGGCAGCCAGTTCAACCTAATAAAATGAAAGACAAGCTTCCTTACTGCCGCGTGTGTGTCATCATCTGCTTTTAGCTGAATCAAATTCCTCCAGCCCAGTGGGGGTTTCAAACTTTTACGCTGCGTTCCCCTTTCCAAATAATGTCGTCTCCCACATACCCACATCTGAGATAGGGTCGTTCTGTTCCTATGGTTAGATTGCCAAGTCTTAGGCCTTGGCTACACTTGGCAATTCACAGTGCTGCCGCGGCAGCGCTGTGAAGCGCGAGTGTAGTCGCGCCGCCAGCGCGGTGAGAGCTCTCTTGCAGCGCTGTAAGTACTCCACCTCGCCGAGGGGAGTAGCTTGCAGCGCTGTGAGCGAGCGTGCAGTCAGGACCGGCTCTAGGCACCAGCAAAACAAGCACCCGCTTGGGGCGGCACATTCCCAGGGGCGGCACAGCAGCTGGTAGCAGTTGTGGAGGTAGCTGGGCCCGCATGGCCTCAGCCGCACAGTGCAGGGCGCAGGGCATCTGCAGCACGCGGGCGCCGCTCACCACCTCGGCCAGGTTGTCTTGGCGCATGTCGCCCACGCCGGCCATGTCATGAGCAGGCGCAGTCCCTAGTAGCTCACCCCCTTCACCCGCAGGATGTCTGGGGACTTGGCCGCCAGCACCGACTTGTGGGCTCGGATTCGCCGGCCGGTCACTTCGATCACCAGGTTCGGCTCCTCCGAGACCAGTTGCTGAGGGCTCCAGGGCTGCGCTCCAGCCTGTGGACAGTGTTAGAGCAAAGGTCAACTATTTGCCTATTTTCCCAGCTGCTCCCCACATCCACGAAGCTGCCTTCCGCCTATACGTATACAAAACAATCAATCAAGGAAGTCCAACAGCTGTATCCTGTTTACCCCTAGAAAGGAATTTAAAAATTCCAGAGGTTAGCAGAACGTATGCACGCTAAGTTGTTTGTTACTGTGTACAAAAAAGCTTGCTCTGCGCTTCTAAGTTGTGCTTCTCCCTCTGGCATTAGTCGAGGGGGACACCCGCTCAGCTGACTGATCAATAAGGAACTTGAAGCCGTCTTCTAGACTCCCGTGCCTCCTTGGGGTCATTGGGCAGCTCCAGGGGGAAACGAGCCCATTTGGCTAACAACAGTAAGTGCCAGGGGGCGGCCGGGCGATGTCGCCTCCTTCGGACTCGGACACGCGCGTTGTTAATCTCCCACTGGCTCTTCCTCACCCGGCTTCAGGAGGAGGCTGCTCCGGGATCCTGCTGTGGGGCTTTGTCCCCCGCCCCGGGCGAAGTGAAGCACAAGGAGGAGCTGAAACCGCTGGGAACTTGCAAAGGGAGCGCGGCGCTTTCCCCACCCCCGCTCTCCTCTTCCCCAGCTGATGCGCTCCCTTCCATGGAGCCGGGCGGCTGCTGACTGCCCTTGCTTCTCTCCACATCCCCCAGAGCTTTCCCGGTGGCCCTAGCTGCTGCCCTGCTCCTCTGCAGAGCCTTTCTGGACGGGTCTTTGCCTCCCTGATATTCCCATCACCCGGACAAAGGACACAGGACAGGACTGGGCTCTCCATGGCTCTAGCAGAGGCTGGACCTGGCTAATGTCTCCCCCCCCACCACACACACTCCCAGCTCAGCAACACAGTCAGCCACCCCTTCGCCTTCCTCTTCTCCTCCCCCCCCTTTGCCTTTTTTTCCTTTGCCGTTTAACGTTACTGTGGGTTTTCCTTGCTCAACTCTCCTTCTTGGCACAGCGTCAATTTCAGCCTTGTTTCCCAGCCTGGCCTCCTCTCACATGCCGACAGCAGAAAGAGGTGTGGGACAGCCGTCCCTGCAGCCACTCGCTGCTGAACTTTCCAACTCCACTAATTTCAACATTGGTTAGATCTCTGTAACCATCATATGTTTGCTGCAGCTTGATTGCTCAGACTTTCCGTGAGTGGCATTGACAGATCAATGTATAGTAATAAAGTATCTCACTTCCTGTTCCTTGGGGGAGTTGGATTTTTTTTCCTGGAGCAATTAAATTTTCTATAAGCCTTTTTCCTATTTTTTTTTCTTCAGAGTAAGCGACACATGTTCTTTAACAAGTGAAAGATCACTGAGATTTAAGAGTTTTGATTTACCGGATGTTTGTATCAGCCG